TCACTGTTGGTTGGTGTTCTGTCCGTCTGAGGAGGTGAGGCAGTGCCATGATGCAATACTATCATTTTATACATTTTCTTCAACACTTTGGTAGCTGCAGCAGGCAGTTGAGTGGACAATGGGGCAGTGATTCTTCACCGTGTTTATAACCAGTAACATACTTTGATACCAGAACACAAAACATCTCTGAACGACATGGTCCTCCCCATCACAGCCCCTTAGTCCAGGCAGTACTAAGGGAGCAGTGTTCTCGGAGCTGAGGGTTCCTTTGTCCCAGGTGGTTTGTGTTGTAGCAGTTGATTTTTTTTGCTCTCTGTGCTGTTAACAGGAGGACTTTACTTTCTAATAAAAAGGTGGGAAAAAAGTTTTGTGTTTTGTTGTAGTTTTGACACTTGACAGCTTGCCTACTACTGGAGTGCCCCATTCCACAGCATTTGCCATTGCTCTCTGCTTTCAGATGAGCCATGTCAGGTGCTGCCCAAAACCGGGTGTGAAGCGGGCAGCATAGGAACCTTGCTGTGACCTGCTGTGAGAGTGCCTCAGGCAGCACCTCTCACACCCTTTTGCTGGCAGAGCACTTGGGTGGCCACAGGCAGAGCTACTGCGGTTGGCATGAGGTGGGACTGGCATGTGGGGTCCCAACACTGGGAGCGGGTGTGGAGGGGAGGGATGCTCGGAAAGCAGCGAGCTGCTCCTGTGCTGCTGTGAGCTGCTTCAGTGCCATGGAGCTGCACGGCTGCTGCATGAAGGCAGGGCTGCACCTCCCCATGCGTTCAGCACTGGCCTTCCTCAACGTGGTGCTGTCACTGCTGCAACCTTCAAGTGGGTGGGAGTGTGTCTGCTGTCTTTCCTCCTCCAGTCTGTCTTTGTTAGATCCCTTTCTCTGTCTCTACAACCCTGCTGACAGGTAAAGACTTTGCTGGGGTAATCAGAAATTTGCATGAGCTTAAACATGGGAACTGGCCCTGGGGAGAGGCTGTTCCTCTCCTGACGTTTTGCTTCCTCTACAATCTGCTGTTCCCTGTTGGGGATTTCTCCTAGTTATGGGAATAGAATCAGCCAAGTGCTAAATAGCTGTGGAGATCCTGGAAGCAAGTGAAGATTCCCCATGAGAGTAGTGAAGGGTGTAATAAAATCATTTATTGCATTTTGTGCAGACAGGAGTCTAGAAAAATGGATACAGTTAAAGCAGTAAAGCATTAACAGGGAGCATTCAACAGCTGAGGAGCCACTCCTCCATTAATACCTGCACAGAGAACACAGGGGCTGTACTGAGGCGGCCTAATGCACAATAGTGAAACACAGAAATTAAATGCAAGCCTAATACTGTTACTTTTTTTCTTTTTTTTTTTCCTTTTTTTGGTTTGCAACCCATTTTATTTACAAGGTTTTAAACTTAATTGCATTGCTCTGCACACAGGTTCTCTAAAACACAAAGCATACTAGGTCACTACGTGTCTATTGAAGTATTGCACTCGAATAAAAGTCACTTGAATGGACGCAAAACATCAAGCTACGGTGGTTAAAAGATTATTGAATGAGCTGACTGTGTGGTAACATTCATAACAAATATATTGCACATGTAGCACAGAAAGTGGTGTAACCAGCAAATCTCAGACCCTTTGGTCTTTCTGCTAGTTTTTAGTCCTGCTACACAGAGGAGGGTCTTGACTCTTCTAGTGCAACTCCTACCCTTGTGCAGTATCTCGTCCTGCCTCTCATCCAGCCATGGACCAACACCGGCCCAGGCTGGAGCTGCCTGTGCCTCCGGCAAGTGCTGTCTTGTGCCTTGGAACCCGTACTGCGCGGTGGCTGCTGCTGCTGCACGTGGGGACAGGGCCACCCACCGCTCCCGCCACAGGAACCGGAGCGTGCGCTGCGTCCCGGCCGAGCGCGGCGGTGGGTGCTGTGCTCCTGCCCGCCACGGGCCTTGCTCTGCCCTGTCCTGCAGCGCTGTGCAGCGCCACAGAGCCCATGGCACAAACCGGGCTCAAGACCTCCCTGTCTGGAACACAAACCGAACTGCGTCTGCACATGTGCCAAGGAGGAACTTGCACGTCTACCGGAGGAGGACACTGTCTTCACCAAGGTGGAACGGCAGAAGGGTGCTCCATGGGGAAACCGAACACTCACGGAGGCCAAACGTGCAGGGCTGGGTTTGTAAACTAACATGCAGTGCTGTCTGCTAAAAGTGGCCCTCTCAGCCACGGCGAGCGAGCACCCGCTGTGGAACCAGCCCGTTTCTTGCCACGGCCAAATTTTGCCTGGGGGGGTGTTGAGGCAGCCCTGTCTCTGTCTCGCACTGTGCCCCTGCACCTGCTGAGGATGAGGAAGGGAAATGCCTTTTTCCAGCAGCAGCGAGCAGGAAAGGGCTGCCCTTCCTGCTCCTGGGGGGGCCGGGACCATGCTTCACTGCGGGGGATAAGGTGGTGCTGGGGGGGAATGGGATCTGCTGGTGATGCCGGGGAGGTGGTGAGCAAATCTCTCACCGGGGAAGCGTGGCCTGGCCGCGGCGTCCCCGCTGCGTTGCGGACATCGACCCCGCTCCCTGCACCAGGGCCGTCGAGGCGGATGGAGCCTCAGCAGAGGCACGACCTACCCCTGCCCCGCGGCCCTCGGTGCAGACCTGGGGCAGGAGGGGAGACCCGGCTCATTGCTGCGGGGCCAGCGGCAGGGCAAGAGCCAGGCTGCGAGGGGAGGGCGGGTGCCAGGAGCAGGCGGCATCTTCTGAAGGCAGAGCAGCTGACAGGCGTCCCAGGCCCAACAGGCGTGGAGCTGGCACATGAGATGAGTGGGCAGGTTGCTGCACTCGCCTCCCCCTTGCCTCAGATCACTCTGGGAGGCTGGAAACAGCACATGAGCTTGTGTGGCGGTGCAGGATGAGCTCCAAGGGGCAGAGCAGCTGCTCACCAGCACAGCCTGGTTCCCGTGGCGCTGCCCTTTCCAAAGCTAAAGGAACCTTGCAGATGCCTGCCTGCTCGTCCAGGAGCAGAGCGCTGCCCTGTGTGTCTGCACCCGCGGTCCAGAGCTCCTGTGCTGAAACCAGGCCTCAGCTCACCCCGGTGGTTACCTCCTGTGAACACCAAGCTCCTGGTGCCCCTGGGATAGCTGCCACCCCAGAGCCTGCGGCACAGACCGATGCAGCTGTGCAGGTAGTGAAAGCTGCCAGGAAGTCAGGCTGGGGCTGCTGCTGGAGCAAAGGGAGGCACTTTGGGAGTGATGGAAATGAAAAGCAAGGTATGAGCAAGCACAGACGTGAAGCTGGGGCTTGGTTTTGGTCTGGGACTGTGTCCACGCTGTATCTTAAAGGGTAAAAAGGAAATAAGAAGCCCCCCTGCTTTTTCTCCAAGCAGCCCCAAAGAGCTTTGGCCTGGACCTGGAGGTGCAGGGGAGCTCTGCAGAGCAAGCAGGAGCTGGAGCCTGGTGCAGAGAGAGGCAGGAGCTGGCAGAAGGTTTGGGCAGGCAGCTGCTGCCAGGCCATGCATGGGGACACAGGAGGCACCCGCTGCAGTGCCGGGGCTCAGTGCTGGGACAAAGCGCTGCTCATTTGGGCCAGGCTGGCACGGAGCAGCCGGGAGAGGGCAACTCTTAGCAGGCTGCACTTGGAGTGGAAGCTCAAATCTGCTGTGAAAAAAGTTCAGAAAAGTCTGTGACTTCTTTTCCCTGAAAACTCTTAAGAAGCGGAATTGAGAAGAGAATGAACCTGCGGCCTGGCCCTTTGCCAGGGGCTGCTGGGTGCCAGGGGAGCTGCAGCCTCCACCGTGGCCCCAGCACACCCAGTGTAACAGGCGGGCACCTGCTCCATGCAGGAGCAGTGGGTCTCCGCTCTCCATCCCCACGGCCTGGTGCTAGCAGAGCCCTGCATCTCTCAGAATAGATATAGATCTCTATATATAGACTTCATCTGGTTCTATTAACATAAATATGATCACTTTAAAAATACACGTACTGTATTATGTACACTATGTACACGGGGCTGGGCGGGTGCCGGCGGGGGCCCTCGGCACCGCTTCCCGCCTGGTTCCTGGAACCGTTCACATTTGTTAAAAGCTCCTCAGTTTCTCTGGCATGAGAGATGCTGGGGGGGGGGAGGACGACAACTGGGGGCGACCCTGCAGCTGCTGCCTGAGGCGGGACATGTCTGAGCTGTGCCGGCGCAGGCTCCCGGTGAGGGAGCGCCCTGATGCTGCAGTGGTGGAACCCCGAAGTCAGCCCTCACTGCGGGGTCAGGCCTGTCAGAGCAGCCAAATGCACTTTGCATATGTTAAAACTGCGCAGGGATCCAGACGTCCTGACAGCTCCAGCGTCCGCGCCTGCCTGGGGCCGGGTTAGCAGCGAAGCCCTGGGAACAGCAGGGAGCCCAGTGGGGCATCAGGGCACCGCAACGCATGAGCAGGGGTGGCTGGTGCCCTGGTGCAGTGTGGTGGGGAGTGGGTTCGGGCCTGGGACAGGAGCTGGTGCCAGGGGTGAGCGGCACCGCTCGGTGCAGGCTGCACATGGTGGAGCCTCTGCTCAGCTCCGGACACCGCAGCTCCATGCTGCAACCGCTGCACAAGCACCAGGAGAGCATCAGGGCAGGGGGAACCTGGAGTCGGTGGGGAAGGGGATGGGGAGCACCCCAGCAGCCACCCCCCGCAGCTGCCCCCCACCCTCTGCCCCCTCCAAACCATCACGCTGCATCTCCAACAAGCTTGGCCCGTGGCCTCTTGAGGCAGTGGCACCGAGGCAGCGGCGAGGTCGGGTCGGGCTGTCCAGGGCCATGCTGGCGCGGGGCTGCCGGGGCGGCGAGAGGAGCGTCGGTGAGGGAGGCGTGCTGGTGGCCTCTGGCTTCCCCAGCGCCGCGGCGGGCGGTCACGGGGCACCGGTGCGTCCCGCCAAGCTCGGCGCAGGGCAGCGGAACGGTGGGGCTGGGCACGGTGCCCTCCTGCCCAGCCAGGGGCTGCAGTGCTGGGGCTGGCCCCGCAGGGATGGGCAGCGGCGGCAGCGCGGGGCTCTGGTGCTCGGTCCGCGGTACACTGTATATATTTATATATAAACAAGGACAGCAGTGCTGTGATGTTGCAATGAGGAACAGCTGCTCTGGTGCTGGATGCTCCCGGAAGATCTGGTGCTGCAGTTCGAATGGAGAGATCAGGGGCACGGCCAAAGCCAGGTGAAGTTTCTGTGCACCGGCTGCCATCCGGCCTTCCCTCCGGCGCGCGGTGCAAGGGGGTGGCGGGGCTCTCAGCGTGCAGACAAACCTCTCGCACCGTGCCTCAGGAGTAGATGGTGATGACCTCCCGGCCCCCACCGCGCACCAGGAGCACTCGGTCCAGGTGCTCCGTCAGCACCTCCAGGAACTCCATGTCTGCACGGCCGTCAAGGAGGACCAGCACCACAGCATGGGGACTGCTCTGCCCCATCCCTGCCAGGCCTCCAACCCAGGGAGCAGAGCCCAGGGCACCGACAGCCCCACAACAGAGCCTGGAGGTGTCCTGAGCCAAGGGGCCAGGGGAACCCAGCACCACTGGTGCCACACAGCGGGGACCGTGGCTGAGCCCACCGCAGCACTCACACATGTGGGTGCAATGTCAGCTGTCCCCAGCACCCGTCCCATGTACATCAGGTCTGCTGGGCCGGCAGCCTGATGCCAATGGGTGTCGGACCCAGCTTGGGGCAAGAGGTGTAGGGGAGTCTGGACTGAGGCCAGCCCGGGACAGTGGCCCCACAGGAAGGATACAGTTCTCATCCCCTTTCCGGTTGCGGGGAGGCCCTGGCATGTTCAGCAGGACCAGCTTGGCGTCCTGGGACTTCTTCACAATCACCTCGTTGAGCTTCACGGCCGTGTGCATCCTCCGCACGTTGGACTGGTTCCTGCGGGTGACAGCACGTGTGGGCACAGGGACGGCTGCAGCCACCGGCCCCAAGGGGTGCCACGAGCTGGGGGGGGGCAGTGAGCTCTCTGCCCGCAGTGGCAGCGGTGAGCTGCAGGGCCATGCATGGTGCCCACGGGCAGCAGCACTACTGGTGCCCGAGCCAGCTCTGCAGGGAGCCCTCAGCAATGAGCCAGGGCAGGCAGGGCTGCATGGCCACAGGGGCTGCGCTGGCAGCACCAACCACACTCATGCATGGGGCAACCGCGACGCTGTGAGCGTGTCCCAGCTTCCCCACCCCGGCCCCGGCCCCAGCCAAACCCACACTTACAGGTTCTCCCACTCCCTGCCAGGAGCACGACGGGGCCAGGGCGGAGGGAGAGAGAAAGAAAGAGAAGAGTGAGTGCCACGTGTGCCCCCACGTCCCTGCACACACTGAGGGACCCCCCCACCCCACCTCCCACCACCAATCGCAGGGTTCAGCTCAGTGGCTGCAGGGGTCCCTCTGGGTAAAGTGCTGCCAGGGCCCTGCCTGGGGCAGGCAGGGATGACCGGGGTGCGGGATGCAGGGGGGAATGGGGTGGCAGCATGTGGGGCCGTACGGCTTCATGTTGAAGAAGTCCTTGATGCCCTCAGGGCTGACGGGGCTCTTGCTCTTGTTCTTCTCAGCAACAGACTTCTCCTTGGTCCAGGTGAGATGCACCTTCTCAGGGGCCGTCTCCACCTCGTCACCGGGGGACTGGGAGCTGCTGGAGAAGGTGGTGGCGTTTTTGTCATGGATGAGCTGGACCTGCAGAGAGGAGAGGGCGCCGGTGGGCAGGGGCTGGGGGCAGCCGGGAGCCCAGCCCTGTCCTGGCACCGTCCCTCACCTCCTCCTCCGGCTTCTCCTCGCCGTCGCCCCCCTGCTCCTCGGGAACGCTCAGGCGCAGGCGCGTGTTGGCTGGGTTCTTGCGCCGGATGGAGCCGCGGGACTCGTCCGTGATGCTCTGGATCTGTGCGGGACGGAGTCAGCCGGGGAGCAGGGCAGAGGGGGGTTGGCCGGGCAGACCCCAGCCTGCTGCCCCGCAGGATGAGTGCAGCAAAGCCGCCACGGGGCTGGACCCCCACAGGCTGTGCTGCAGCCTCACCTCCCGCTCCCGCTCGTTCTTGGTGAGGTGCATTTGCTTGAGGATCTGGGAGCGCTGCTCCATCACCAGAGTCTTCTCATAGGTGTAGGCAGAGATGTCGCTCTCGTGCTGTGGAGGGGAGCAGGAGAAACCATGGTGCAAGGTGAGCTGCACCCACTGCTCCCAGCCTGGCCCTGCAGTTCTCCATGGACCTATGTGTCCCTGTGGCAGTGGGTTTCCCCCACCATGGTCCCGTGTCCTCCCAGGGCAGGGTCAGTCTGGCTCCCCCACATGCAGCATCCCCAGCTGCGGCACATGCCCCATCCTAGCGCTCACCATCTCCACCACCTCCACCTCCGCAGTGATGCGGAGGTGGTACAGGAACGTGGTCAGGTCCTTCTTCATCTGGATGCTGTTGTCGTCCATCTGCGCCACCGTGAAGATGCGCATCTTGCACTTGCGCCAGACCTGCAAGGGAGGGAGGCATGGCCACGGCCCGGCGGAGACGGCCCCAGCCCCCTGCCCCACACCGCGGGGCCCGGGCTACCTTGTGGTGCCGCAGGAGGAAGGGCAGCAGCATGAGCATCCCCCCGTCATGCACAATCCACCAGACGTCGATGTGGCCCTCAGAGAACCGCTCCTGGTTGCCCGGGAACATGGCGACGTTCTTGGCCACCAGCAGGGCCAGGTGCCCGGCCGTGGTCTCTCGCACCAGCTCTGGAGGGGAAGGGCCATGTCAACGGCAGCGGGTCACAGCCTCGCCGGCAGCGGCAGCACCCGCCCTTTGTGGCACCTACCAATGAAGTTCCTCCAGGTCTGGTGATCCTCCTTCTGGCGCCAGCTGCGGGGCCACCCCACCAGCACCGTGTTGTGCTGCAGCCCCCCCAGCCCGCTGGACTGGATGAGGTGGGACATCCCATCCCGCAGGTTGGAGGAGATCACGACCTGGCAGAAGCCCTTCACCTTCTCTGCTTCCATCAGGCGGCGGATGGACTGGAGGGCAGAGGGAGGTCAGAGACCAGGGGGACAGGGCATGGGCGCCCGGTGCAGATATCAACCACAGCCCCAGCTGCAGCACCACAGCCTGTGGGTGCAGGGTGTGTGGTGCAGGCCCCTGTGGGGTGCCAGGTCTCCGTGCCCCAGGGCACGCTGGCGGCTCCGGGCTGGGAGGGGTAAGCCCCGATGGTGAGCGGCGCTGGCGCATGGCTGCACTGTGCCGAGCAGGGGGTGTCCCCGTGCCGGGGCTCTGCCGGGCGGCGGAGCAGCAATTAGAGGTATTTACACAGAGAAATTATAACATGTCTGCATGGGAGAGAAAGTGTTTGCTTCCGAGGGCTTAATCTCGTTAATATGATGCTGGGCTGGGGGTGGGGATGGCTTTGCTGCAGCAGGGAAGGAACCGAGTCCCACCCTGGCACTGGGGCTGGGGGGCCATGGGGTGGGGGGGGGCTCTGGGGAGGGTCGGGGCTCTGGCAGCTGTGGCAGCTGCAGGACAGTGGAGGGGCTGCTCAGAACAGCAACACCTTGCCAGGCTGTGCCATGCTGTGTGCCATGTACCATGTGCTGTACCACATGCTATGTGCCAGGCCATGTACCATGCACCGTGCCATGCCAAGCCCTGCTGCAGCTGAGACTGGGACCACTGCCTGCCTGGTGCTGCTGTCTCTGGAATCTGAGAAAGGGGGCACGGGTCCAGAGGTCCCCATAGTGCCCCAAGCACAGGCAAGGAGTCTTTGGGCTCTACCCGGTGCCACCTCAGTGTTCTCCCGGCCAGCTGGGTCCACCAGCTCTGGCCATGGGGCAGCACCACTCCCAGGATGGCAGCAGCCCTGGCGTGGGCAGCTCTCACCTCCTCTGCCCTCTGTGCCTGTGGGTGGTTGTCCAGGAAGGTCCCTTCCAGCACGGAGGCCACGATGGTGAGGCCCTTGCCAGCTTTGAGCTGCGACGTGAAGGACAGGAGCTGGGGGTGCACCACGTTCTGCTCCTGATCTCCGCGGACCAGGACCAGCAGCTGCGGCCTGAAGGGATGGTTCTGCAGTCAGTGCCCATGTCCCAGCCAGCCCCGGTCCCCCTGGTCCCCACAGCCCCCCCAGCCTCACCTCCAGTTCTTGGTGTGGGGGGGTCCCTCCTCCAGCCGCAGCAGGGCATAGCGGGCCGCGCTCAGGGACAGCCCCCGGATCCCGTCTCCCCACTCCTTCTCCGCCCTGTGGGAACCGTCAGCATGTAAGGGATGCTCCGGCCATGGATCACCACCCTGGCACGCCGGAGCACCCCAGGACGAGCAGCCTGGGGCATCTGTCGGTGCTGGGCAGGGTCTGTGGCACCCCCTGCCGCCCTTACCCACGGTACTCGATGTATTTGTAGATGAGGCCAGCGATGAGCATGGCGACCAGGGCATAGTACCAGGAGCAGATGAACATCAGCGCCAGGCAGAGGCTCATGCCCAGGAATGACAGGGTCCTGCAGAGAGCAACGTGTGCTCAGCGTGCCCTGGCCCGCAGCAGTGACCGGGGTGGTGGGGGGTGAAGGGTGTGGCAGGACACCCGTTCATTCCTGTCCCATCCCATCGCTGCTCACCAGTGGTAGTAGCGGAACCGGGGCCGCCAGTTGGGCGTTCGCAGCAGCGTCTGCACTGCACATGCCAGGTTGACAAACATGTAGCACATGAGGAAAAACCTGCAGGAGAGAGCATGAGGTTGAGCCGGGAGCTCCAGGGCCACAGCCGGATCCCACCGCACCTCCCAGGCCCATGTGGCCGATGCTGGAGCAGAACCCTCCAATGGACAAGGGAGCTGGGGGACACAGAGCAACCAGACCCCAACACCAGGCAAGGAGGGGCTCTGGGGTCCCTGAGAGGTTCCCTTCTTCCTGGGCAGGGCCTGGGGCAATGGGGACAAAACCCCTGAGGAGCTGAGACCCACAAGTGCCACCCGCCTGGCCTGGGTGAGGGAACATGGGCCCATCCGCCGCTCGCAAAGGTGTGTGTGGACAGAGCATGCTGCCTACATGGAGAGGATGGGAGCCACCTCGTCCAGGGAGGCGATCAGGATCCCGATCTCGCAGATGCAGGCTGTAAGCAGCAGTGCCCATGTTGGCTCCCCATTGGCTTTGCCGTGGCCGAAGACCTGGGAGAGACGGGGAGGGCACGCGTCAGAACCCCCCCCACCGTGCACCCAGCCCTGCCAGAAGCAGGGGCCAGGGGTCACATGGGAGCTGACACATCCCAAGCCAGTCGGGTGCCCCATCCCTGGCAGTGTTCAAGGCCAGGTAGGACAGAGCCTTGGGAAACATGGTCTAATGTGAGGCATCCCTGCCCATGGCAGGGGGATGGAACTGGATGATCTTAAGGTCCTTTCCAACCCAAACCCTTCTGTGATTCTATGGCAGGTCCTACCAGGTCAGCGGTCCCAGGACTGGCAGGACTGGTTCCCACTGCTGGTACAGCCCCATTCCTGGCAGACCCCCCGCCCAGAGCGGCCCCTGTGCCCCCGGGACCCCACCCAGGGATGAGCCCCAGCTCAGTCAGTGTGGAGTCAGGCACCCCGTGCCTGGGACGGACACGCTGCAGCTGTGGGAACAGGGGGGGCCCGGTGCAAGGCAGGCGACAGGGGTGCGTGTCTGGATGCATTAGAGGCTGCGGGCGGCGCGAGCGAGCGAGAGGAAGGGAGGATAAAATTAGCCCGTTCTTCCCTGGGGGGAGCTGTCGGCTCGGATTTGGAGAGATGAGGTTGTGAGAACGCGTCTTCGGAGAGCACATAAATACGAAGCGGCACGGCAGCGGGGGGGTGCCCTTTCCCACACTAGCGTCTCACCGACACCGCAGCCCACTGCGGCCGCCCACCGCCGGTAACCGCGGGAGGAGGGCAGGCAGCGCGGGCGCTCACCAGGCTCCCGTGCTGGGAGAGCCACGGCCATGGTGGGTGCTTGGGGCTGGCTGGGCTCGGGGGACACCTACCCTGAGGAAAGGCACGATCCCATCCCTGGAGATGGCTTGCAGGAGGCGGGGGGCTCCTGTGAGGCTCTGCAGCCCAGCCCCACACGTGGAGAAGAAGGAGCCGATGACAATGACCCATGGGGATGGCCATGCCAGGGTGCCAACCACCAGGTTCCCATTCACAGCTTCACCAAACCTGTGGGGCAGCAGCATCACCTGTGGCTCCATCCTGTGGCTGAGCCCCATGAATGCCACAGGAGCACAACTCGGCCCCACGGGCAGGTTAGACACTGAGAGACACCACCATGGGGGGACCGGACAGCATCAGGGAAGGGCCCTGCCCTGGCTGGTGATGGTCCCCAGTTTCCCGGGGGCAAGCACGGGAGTGGGGTCTCAGGTACTGGGAGTCTGTCCCCATCCTGGCACGCGTGGACAAGGGGAGGCAGGGGACGGGGGCTCCCCGTTCCCTGTGCCGGGAGGAAGCCGCTAAGGCTGCGTGTGGCTGGATCCCGGTTGTGCTGGTGCTGGCGGCCCAGAAGTGTCACCTGCAGCGGCAGTGCGCTGGGCTGCCCCAGATCCGCCTGTTGACAAACGAGCGCTGCCGGCAGCGTGGGAGCGGGAGGAAGGGCTGCGGATGCGCAGCAAAACATCGGGCGGGGGGGGGGGGGGGGGGGCAGGCACGACACGACAGGGCACAAACGAGCCCTTAACGCCTGTTACAAGTTCGGGTCTCCCCCGAGAGCCCCCCCCCAACCCCCTGCGCTCTCACCCCAGATCCCCCCAGACCCCTCCTTCTGGCCGGTGTGTCCCAGCTGCAGCCCCCCACCAATGTCCCCACCTCCCATCGGGGCCACTCTGCCCCAGCCCGTTCCCAGGGGTCTGCAAGGCTCCCCCCAGCCCTGCACGGCCGTGGGACACTCACTTGTCACGCAGGACGACCCCCTCAATGCACGCCCCGAAAAGGACGACAGAGCTGATATCTGCCAGTTGGTCAAGGAGAGCCAGGAGGCTGTGGAGTCCCCCCGTGAACCACCACCACCATCAGTGGGGTGCCGGGACCCCTGTCCCAGCCCAGTGGAGCACCCAAGCGGGTCCCTGAACAGCAAACCCACACAGCCCCAGCCCATGGCCCAGGCTTAGGTGAGTCCTGAAGGATACAGACAGCAGAGGTGGTGGCGATGGCCAGGATGGTGCCTGTGGGGATGGACTTCTGGGCGTCCCGCAGGTCTCCGGAGCGGTTGGAGCCGGCCATGATGCCTGGGATGAGAGCGGATGGTGCCGGTGCAGCCCCGAGCAGCACAGCTCATGCCAGGCACAGTGCAAGCCCTGGGTGCTGCAGGGCACCGGCTCTGCGGTGTGCGAGGACAGGCAGCGGGCACAGAGCTGGCAGTGGAGCTGGCACTGCCATGACGCGGGGTCCCCAGTCCACCCTTCCCTGTGCCCCTCAGCACTTCCCCTCCCCAAGCCGCAGTCTGAGGCCACTCAAGGATTAGCTCAAAATGCTTTTAAGTGACTTGTCTCATTAGCCCTTAATTAGCTCAATCAGTGATGGCGGCTGCAGCAGTGACAGGGTCCAGCCCAGGCTCTGCGCTGGGAAGGCAGGAGACCAGGCTGGGACACAGCTGGGACATGGCTGGGACCAGCAGGTCCGGCACAGCCAGGGGGACGACCCGCGTTCCTGTTGTGGCATCGGCCACGGCTGCCACCGCACAGCCCTGCAGCCGCCTGCAGCTCAGCCCGTGTCACCGAGGGGACGGCACCAGCACCACACAAACACCGGGACCTGCGGCCGGCGGGCGCGGGCGGGATGCCGGCAGGGTCCGTGTGCGGAGCGGCGCTGCAGGGTCCGCCCGGCTGGAGGGCCCCCCCCCCGCCCCCAGCGCCAGACTCGGCCGGTGATCGCCCTGCCCGGGACAACCCTGGGAGGACCCCGGCTCCGGCATTAGCGAAGTGGGACCCGCCGGCGGCACCGCGGCGGCTCCGCAGCGGGACTGGGCCGGGGGGGGCTCCTCCGCCCCCGGGAGCTATAAATATCCGAGCGCTGGGACGTCAGCGCCGAGCGGCTCCGTCAGATCTGGAGCGCGGGTGGGTGCGCGGGAGGTGCGGGCTGCGATCCATCCCCGCATCCATCCCTGCATCCATCTTCACATCCATCCCCGCATCCATCCCTGCATCCATCCTCACATCCATCCCCGCATCCATCCCTGCAGCCATCCTCACATCCATCCCCGCATCCATCCCTGCATCCATCTTCACATCCATCCCCGCATCCATCCCTGCAGCCATCCTCACATCCATCCCCGCATCCATCCCTGCATCCATCTTCACATCCATCCCTGCATCCATCCCTGCATCCATCCCTGCATCCATCCTCACATCCATCCCCGCATCCATCCCTGCATCCGTCCTCACATCCATCCCCGCATCCATCCCTGCATCCATCTTCACATCCATCCCCACACCCAACCCCATATCCATCCATGCATCCATCCCTGCATCCACCCTCACATCCGTCCCTGCACCCAACCCGATATCCATCCTTGCACCTATCCCTACACCAATCCCCACACTCAGCACGAGGCAGTGCACATTGGGCTGTGCCAGAGCACATCATGGCACATGTGCCAAACAGTGCCCCTTGGCATGACCACAGCTCCCACCTGTGACCGAGGGGAAGTAGATGCCGACAAGCAGCGTGAAGTAAGAAGTCATGTCGCTGAAGACGTAGGGCTGGTCCATGTCCACCGGTGTGTCAGGGGTGCTCACAGAGGGCAGCCCCCGCTTCTCCACAATCACACCCTTGGTCAGGTACGAGCTCCAGAGGTTCTCTGTGAGGAGGCAGAGGCTGGCATGAGGAGGTGCTGGAGAGTCACCCACACCCAGCACAGCACCTCCTGCCCCACAGCCCAAAGGGACGGAGCACCACCTCTCCCCACTCCAGCATCACTGAGCACCAGGGCCACTGGCATCCAGCAGGTGAGGGCCATGGCATCCCCAGCCTGTCATGAATGCGCAAAAACACCCAGATAGGCAGCACGGGTGAACAAGTGGAGTGGGTCTGTCCTGCTACTGGTATCAATCCTGCAAGATACTGGAGCAGACGACACAGGATTGTGGTAGCAAATAATTAAGAGGGTAATATAATTAATGCTGATCAACACAGGTTTAAGGAAAGTGGATCGTGGCAGAGCAACTTGGTAATGTTTGTGATGGGATTACGAGCGCAGGGCTGATGTAACAGGCTTAGTGTCCCTCCGCGTGCTGCCTTGGCTGCGCATCACAGTGAGAAACTGGAGCAGCAGAGAGCAGCCAGCACCTGGGAACAGCTACTGAGTGGGTCCACAGGGACCAGCCCTCAGCACCCTCCCAGAACAGCTCATTTCTCCCCTCAGGGACACCCAGTGCCTGGGCACAGCCATCCCCAGCCAACTCTGCCGGCACGGCGTGGTGCCACCCTGATTCGCAATGTTGCCAGCCCAGTCAGATGGTGTCAGCCCTGGCTCTGCCCTGCACATCCCAGATGAGGGAGCGTTTGCTGGCTGCTGCCCTGACTGTCAGGCTGGGCTGGGGACTGCATCCCCTCCCCAGCAGAAAAGGGCTGTACTCAGCGGCCAGATCCTCCTCCACAAGTCCTCAGGCTTTTGACCAAGGCTCCAGGTCACAAGACCTCAGACCATGAGGAGCCTCCCAAATACCCAGGGAATGCACTCTACCACCTCGCTGTGACACAGCCTGCCAGCCACAGCCCCAAGCACCACAGGCTTGGTGAAGTCCAAGCTCCCACAGCCGGGTCCAACAACCCAAGCGTGACACTGAGCATTGGCCTCCCCTGCCCACTGTGGACTGTGAGCACCCGGCAAATGGACCAGCGGCTCCAGGAAAACAGCTCACAGGTGGCTCCTCCCAGCAAAGCCACGAGCAGTTCTGCAGCCATGGCCCCTCTCCAGGTGCCGCTGCAGCCGCAGCAACAAAGTGCCCCTTAGGAGCGATTGCTCCTCACAAAACCTCAGATCAATACCAGCCTTTCCAAAGGCCAAGCAGAAGTGGAGGGAGGATTTATTCCTCCCCAGCCTTTGGGCATCCTTGGAGCCATCCTGCTGCAGTCCGGCTGGCGCAGACCCCACGCAGGCAGCTACAGCACCCAGCTCAGTTGATGGTGCTGGAGTCCATCCTGCTGCTTGGTACAGTGTGAGCGCGGCTCACTGTGCCCAAGTGGCAGAGCAGCCCATGGCAGGGATCACCCACGGCAGGGATCACCCACAGCAGGGATCACCCAGCTGCCCGCACAACACCAGCCTGGCATGGCCAAGGGGCTGGCCACCCATCTGTGCCCACAATGCCCCCCATGGCACCAGCCTCTCCACCAGCCCTGCCAGCATGGCCACTGCCCCACCACAGCTCCCCCGGGGCTTGCCATAAAATCACAGAACCACAGCCTGGTTTGAGTTGAAGAGAACTTAAGGCTCCTCCAGCTCCAACCCCTGCCACTGGCAGGGACACCTTCCCCTGGAGCAGCTTGCTCCAAGCCCCATCCAGCCTGGCCTTGAACACTGCCAGGGATGGGGCAGCCACAGCTTCTCTGGGCACCCTGTGCCAGCGCCTCAGCACTCTAATATGGAAGAACTCCTTCCTAATGTCTCATTTGTGCCTAGTCCTGTGCCTCTTCCTTGCACCCACATCCCCACACCTCCCTCCCTGCTCTTCCAGCCCTGTGCCCATTCCCATGCCTCTGCCCCTGTGCCAAGCCCACCTTGGATAAGGCCACTGGCGGCACCAGGGATGCCCTCGATCTCGGTCACGTTGTTCATGGTGAAGTACTCATCACAGGTGGCATTGAGGAAGCGGGAGGTGCAGAAGAGCTCCCAGAGCTTGGAGCCCACCGTCTCGTTCCCCTCCATCACCACCTTGGTGCAGAGGTCGAAGCCGTGGCGTGAGAGGGTTCTGTTGCCCAGGAGGCAGATCCTGGAGGGGAGCAGGCACTCAGCACATGCACACACACAGTGGCCCTGCCGGAGCCCCATGGGACACCGTACTCACGGGAAGCTCGGCGGGTCGAAGGCTGACTTGATGACACCAGCATAGATAGCAAGGATGGAGAGGATGACGCAGCCCAGGAAGACCAGGGCAAACTTGTTGACGTACTTGACCCCCACAAACACCACCGTGGCCATGCAGGTCAGCACACAGGTGCCGTACACACGCATGTTGTTGAGCATCGCTGCTGCCTCGCCGCTGGCGTCCTCTGCCTTGAAGATGGCCATAGCTGGGAAGATGTAGGCCTGGGAGAGAGTCATGGCATCACTGCTAAAAGTCTTGTGCAGGGGACCCCTCAGCCCCACTGCAAAGCCTCAGCTCCCTGACAGGCCATGAGGAGCAGGCAGCATGGGCAGGCAAAGGCTGAGCTGCCCTGCCAGGACTTGAGCCCTCAGCACCACGTGAGTGGAAGACCCAGACACACACCAGCAGGATTTCGATGGTGCCCAGGATGTACATGGCGCCGGCAAAGGTGGTGCCCAGGTAGAAGCAGAGCCCTACGGCCCCACCAAACTCAGGTCCCAGGGAGCGCGAGATCATGTAGTAGGATCCACCCGCTGCAAAGAGAGCAAAGATGGGTCCCAGCCAGACCCCGTGGCAACCTCAGCCCTGCCAGGTATCCCAGGGGGCCGGATGGAGCCAGGGCAGACCTGGACCCTGCTCCAGCATGAAGTAGGATGCAGTCCCCAGGGCCCCAGAGCAGCCAGGCTGGCAGAGCTGTTTCACGGGAGCCCAGCAGCCAGGTGTGATGGCTCTGCGGACACGTTGTCCCCTGGGACACCAGATGGGCAATGAAGCCTCAGGAACACGGGCCATGTCCTGCTCCATCCTCCCAGAGGAGCCCTTTAGTGGTGCTGCTGGGATCGATGGTCCCACTGCAGCAGCAGGATGATGAATAGCTTTTAATTGCACCATGTGCTGGGGCCATCAGTGCCATGCCCAGCCCATGGCAGAGCAGCCCACGGCAGATCAACCATGGCAATGCAGCTCCCCGGGCTGGACGTGCTCTGGGGGTGCCAGCCCGCACACCAGACCCTGCGGTGCCTCCCGGGGCAGAGACCCCACCGCCCAGCCCGCGGCTCCCATCCTCCTGCCACCGCGTCTCCCCCGCGGCCGCGCCAGTCTGGCGGAGGGAGGAGGCGCGGCTGGCGGCTCTCGCTCCATCTGCACCTCGCTGCTCTGGGGACGGGTGAGAGCTCCAGCTCCGCGTCCCCCAGGGCCATGGGGAACCCGCACGGGGGGTGGCAGGAGCCGGGGGGCGGCTGGTGGCGCTGTGAGCTCCCACGCAACACGGACACAGGGACCCGCAGGGAGCCGGCGGCCCTCGCCCATGGCACACACACGGACGCGGGCTCGGCTGTACCTGGCACCACACCGTTGGTGGCGATCGCGCTCATGGAAATGGCCGTCAGCATCGTCTGTGGGAAGAAACACGATGTCAGCGCCTGGCAGAGCTCCCTCCACGCTTGGGAGCAGGAAGGGAGAGCTGGGACCACGCTGGGACATGGGGCTCCCTGGGACCATGCTGAGATGTGCCACAGGACCAGGACGGGTAGATGGATGACGGGCAGGCAGGCAGTTGCCTGGAAGTGCTGCAAGGGGCAGGCAGTCCCTGGCTGCCCAGGATGCTGCCCATATTCAGTCCCCTGACCCTGGGGTCGCTGTCCTGTTGGGATGGCTCATTGCAGCACGGCATATGGGGCCAGGGCAAGGGATCCCCCTCCACAACCCTCCCTCCACATCCCCCCATCACATCCCCTCACATGGCTGCTATGATCTGGGTCACCATTTGAGCATCGTTCTGCTGCCGATTCCTTTGGGAAGCAGAAGGCTTCTCCTTGCTCTAAGAGGGGCATGGGCAGGGCAGTATATGCCCGCATCCACAGCCTGCCCAGCCTGACTGGTGAACCCCAGACCTTAGGGAGGTAAGGGGGGACCCGGCAGCTCCATCACTCACGCAAGAGCAGCAGAGGAAGACCATGCAGAAGGACTCCATGATGCCGGCAATCCCCACCACCCAGGTGAGGCGCAGGAAAAGAATGACCCCAAAGATGTTCTGGAGACAGGGCAGGTAGACGCCCATGAAGGTGCCCATCCGTGGGGCCTGCCAAGGGAACAGGCAGCCATCAAAGCTCACAGGCCTGGCTGGCAGAGGAGCGAGGGGTCCCGCTCCTCCTGCAACACAGCCAGGGACCCTGGTGAAAGCACTGCCCAGCACATGCCCAGGGGCCTGGGAGAAGGGGCTGCATCCCCCACCTGCACCGGCTTCTTCTTGCCCCCGTCATTGTTCTCGGCCTCCTCGTGCTCCCGGCTCCCCTGCGGCAGGTTGGTGTAGTTGGCCAGCCCACTCAGCAGGGACGAGACCATGGGGCTGGTGTCCATCTCCTCCTGCAGACAGCAGAGCCCAGCGCCATGAGTTAAGTCCTTCAGGGCCCTGGCCAGCCCCACAACACCAGCTCCTCACCAGATGCCACTGCACTGCCTGCCCCGCTGGCATGGCTGCAGCAGAGCGGACCCAGCCTGAGGCTCTGTTTGGGTGCCAGGGTGCAGATCAGGTGCTGTGGGAGCTGCCCAGCTCAGCCCCCTCCCCATGGACCCCTCTTCCCACCATGCATGCCCTACCTCAAAGAGGGCCATGTTCTTGCCATCGTACTCTTTTCCCTTCTCCAGATCTGTGCTATTGATGAAGGGGCTGCTCTCCTTGGGATTGCCATCTCCTGTGGGGACAGTGCAGAGTCACCCACGCAGTCCCAGCCCCAGCCTGTGCTGCAAGAGCAGCCACCCTGCAAGGCTGTTGCTGCTAGGGGCTGCAGCTGCACCCAGCTCCTGCGGTAGGGGCCATGGGCACCGCACTTGTGCCCAGTCCCAGGACAGGCAAGGGCAGCTCCTGTGTCCAGCCATCAGCATCACCTCTGGGCCACACATGGTCAGGGGAGGCTCCTGCCTGTCCCCAGGAGCCACGTGCTGCCCTGCGCGGCCGGGCGCATCCGCGCAGTGAGGTGAGTGGTGTGGATCCATGGGGAACCCTCCCAGCAGGATGCTGGCAGCAATAACTCACGGTGGGTGAGTGCGCTGGGGCTACTCACAGCGCTGTGCCTGCAGCGGCAGGATGCGGCCAGATGCTCTGCATGCAATTGTAGCAGGGATGGTCCCGGCATGGTTCCTGGGAGTGCGGCGAGTGGCCAGAATCCTGGTCGTGCTCCACAACACGCACCACGGGAGCAGGGGCTGCAGTCTCACTGGCTGCACCTCAAGGCAGGGAGGTGTCTGGAGGTGCCACCACTGAGGGCAGGCACTGCTGGGCCATGGGAGAGGCCACAGCTTGCAGAGCCTGCAGAGCTGCTGGGACAGGGCCATGGCTGCTCACTGCATTAACGACCTCATGCAGAAGAAACCCGGAGCCGGCTTAATAGCAAGGAAAACAGCCGAGCTGCAGAGCAGCAGAAATAAATCAGGCTGGAAATGGAGCAGCAGCGAAGATGGTGCTGCCGGAGTGGTGTAGCCCTGAGCGGAGGCCCAAAACAAGGGGGGCAGGGGCCGTGAGAGGCTGGGAAGCCAAAGGACATGGTGATGGGCAGAGTGGCTCAGTGGGTGATGGCCCCTATGGCACAAAGAAACCAGCCCTGAGTGGGAGGAGAGGGGCTCCTCACCACACGCCCATTCACCCATCATGGCCCTGCAGCCAGGGCAATGGCCCTGCTGGTGGCAGCAGCTCTGCAGGGCAGGCTGCCTGCACATGCAGGAATAAAGACCCACTCCACACCCCAGGACAGGGGCAAGAGCCATCCCCTCCACTGGCCTTGAGCACAGAGCCTGGGGGTGCCCAGAGAGGATGCAGGGGGGACCCATGGTCCAGGGCAGTGCCAACACCCACCCCCTGCAGGACAGACCCCACAACTGTTTGGAGCAGCCTGGTCCTTTGCAGGCCTCCTGCCTGTTGACTCATGTTCGGGATCCTGGGAGCCAGCGTGCAGTGGTGATTCACCTTCTGCATTCATCATGGCTGACCGGAGGTGAAGCCCTGAGTGCCACAGGTGATGCTGACCCACAGGCTGTCCCCCATCTCTCAGCAGTCCCTGGTCCCCTCCAGCACAGGGCAGCAGCATCCCCAGCAGTACAACTGAAGTGAAAGAAGAGCCCGACCCTCCTTCTGGGCAGGAATGGCTGTGGTGGCAGCACCCGGACAACCCACCCTCATCCCGGAGCCCCTTTAGATGGATGCCTGGCACCATGTGCTTCACGGCTGGCATGTGGTCTGCCCCGTGTCCCCCACCGAAGGATGTGCAGGGGGGTCTCAGCATGGACCCAACATGCTCCTTGCTGGGGTTTGGTCTCAAGAGCCGCACCCAGCACTCATTAGGTAACGGCAGCAGTGCAGGCTGGCACACCCCTGCTGGCCATGGCTCCCACCCACTGCACCGGCTCTGGCACCATGTGGATGTGGGATGCCCACTATGCCAATAGGACACCCCCAGGGGTGCAGGAACGGGGGTGTCAGAGCCACCTCTGCTCCCCGGGACCCCATGCAGGGCTGGACAGCGCCGGGGAGCACGGGGACAGGGTCAGCGCGGGGGGGGGGAGACCGAGCCCCGGGGGCCTCACAGGGAGAGCAGAGCCCACGGGGCCTCGCCGCCTCCTGGTACCCGGCGACGACATCACTGCGCTGGTTTCCATGGCAACGGCGAGCCACGGCCGCCCGCTCCCGCGCTTATGTAACGCACCGGTGCCCCCCGCGTCTCGGCCACCGGCATCGGCCACCGACTGGCCCGACGGGCCCCACCGACAGACAGCAGCACCCCCGGGTGCCCGTGCTCCAACCCGCCGGCACTGCCGGCACCAAACCTCGCCGCCCCTCTGCCCTGTCCCGGCGCACCAGCCCTCTGCATCACCACATGGACCACGGCTCCGAGCCGGCACCGCCCGGGCTGCCAGGGCCAGAGGGGCCACAGGAGCCCCTCGCCTGGTGGTGCCGCCGGGAGGGGCGGGAGGTGGGGATCCAGGGATGGACACGGCACAGCTCCGGCATTCCTGGGGCACGGCTCAGGGGAACCCTGACCCCCAGGCTGGAAGGAGTTAAGTGCCAGGGCCGCGGGGTCCCAGGTGACAACGCGCTCCCCGCTCCTGCCGGAGACCATTTTGCCGCAGAGGGGCTGGTGCAGCCTCTCCTCAGCAGCTGCCACAGGATCTGTGCTCTGTGCAGGCAGCGGCACGCAGGACCCCGCAGCCCGGCCAGGGCAGGGCTCACCCTATCACCCACCGGCCCGGCGGCACCGAGGGGGTGACACCTCCCGGCCATGGGGCACACGGACACTGCCGGTGCCCCCGCACCAGCCAGGCCTGCCCATGCCCCCAGCAGAGCCCCAGGCGAGCAGCTCGGGGGCAGGACGAGGCCGGGCAGCGGCTTGGGAGAGGCAGTGTGAGCAGAGCCGAGCTGAGCTGTGCCAGGCTTCGATCCCGGCGCTCAGCTGCCCCCTCCCCAGGGATCGCTCAACACGAATCGGCCTTTTAATTTGCTGCGGCGGCTGGAAGGGCTCGCGGCGGGATTGCTGGCAGGAACCCGCAGCCCCGCTGTGGGCACCGCGCCGTCCCGCTCGCCACGGGGTTACCACCGGCCCTGCCTGCTCAGGGCATTCAAAGGCCGACCTCGCTGCCCATCTCAGCACCCTGAGAGCCAAGGGACCATCCCTGTGTCCCAGATCTTACCTGCCCCACAGGGCAGGGCTCTGGCTGCAGTATCAGCCACAGTCTGATCTCCTAATGGCTTTTAACTCAGCCCTAAATTAGGTTGGGAAGCGTCATGTCCCTCATCCCAAATCCTCCCTAATCACTTTACATGGTGCAGGGGGTCCGATCAGCCAACCCCTATGGGCTAATTAAACAGAGCTGCTGCCTGCTCCTGCCCAGCCACAGCCAGCCTGTCGTGTCCATGGCACCCCGTGAGGGCCAGCTCCCTTGCACCACCAGGCACCTCCGTTAGTGCTCCTGAAGCACCTGAGGGCCTGCCCGGTGCTGGCACAGGAGTGCTGACAGCACAGAGAGCCCCTGCATGAGCCTGGCCACTGACCCCTCCTGTGGCACCCCTTGCACCAGTCCCAACATCCCTGGGCCAGCAGCAGTGCAGCAGCTGCTTATGCACCCGGGGCTGCCCCAGGGCTCCCCTCCAGGCACTCAGGGCACCTTGAGTTTTGCCAGAGTGTTCTGAGCAGCCTCCTCCTGCTCCCCGGGGCTCTGCCCGCAGCCAGCGGCAAGGGGCACCCCAGGGTGACCCCAGCAGCACAACGAGCACATGGGTGAGCACGTGGCCCTGGCTCGTGTCCCCAGCTGCTGCTGTTCTGCAGGAGCTGCTGTCTGGGGCAGCCACGGTGCTGTTCTGTCACCCCCAGGCATGAAGGGGACTTGGCCGCTCATCCACTGGCCTGGCCCTGGGCCACTGGTCAGGGAGTGCCTAAATCAGATGGGGATGGCCAAAGGACCCTTATGGTGTCTGGCACCTCTGCTCCCACCCAGGCTTCCTTCTCCCTTCAGCAAGGTTATCTATCTGCCAGCTGCCCCCCTTGGAGAAGCAGCAGAGCTTCCATGCCCCGCCAAGGCAGCAACAACCAGTGGCCGGAGCAGCACTGGCCCGTGTGGCAGTGTGTGCAGCAGTGCCGGCTCCTGTGGTGCTGGGGTGGAGGATGGTCCCCCCACCCCGGGCTGTGCTTTGCCCCTCCAGCCAGAGAGCGCACCAAATGGCCTTTTGGGCTGGATTCTTTCACTGCCTGACCCAAATTGGACCAACTGCTACTTCAGACCTATCCTCTTCCTTCCTAAACCCTGGATTATCCTCTCTTTGATCAGCCAGCCCTGCAGGCGCAGGATTTCAGCACAGGCGCTTTGCCTGGCTGCATTTTAACAGCTTCCCAAATTCCCTGACAGCCAGAGCTCTGCCTTGGAAATCGCTGTGGACTGAAGCTCCAGCAAAGCTCCCGGCCCAGGGTCTGCCCTCCTTGGTCAGCCCAGTGCCTCCAGCAGCCTGCATCGGGGCTGTGCCTGACATTTCCACACCCCAAACAGCAGTAAAAGCTGCCAGCCTGGACACTGCAGACAGCAGTCCTGCCCCCTCCCGAACTCCCCACCACCTCCCCAGAGGGTCTGCCACGGTCCCAACCCTCTCTGGGCTGCCAGGACTGGAGCCCTTCCAGCCCTTGTCATGAGGCCGGCACAGGCTGTCCAGTGCAGGGATACTGCTCGGCCTTTCCAACAGAAATGGCCTAAGCAGCACCCAAGGCTTCAGCAGTTCTACTGGGCTCAGCAAGTCCCTGCCTTGCCAGTGCTGGAGCAGCCAGGACTCATGGGGGGCCCTGCTGGCATGCAACAGCTCTGCCACCCACCCTGGGTCATCCATGTTCCCTGCAAACAGGCCCTGCACAGAGAGCTCAGTGCAATCCTTGGCATGGGGGGTGATCCCACACCCCTGCAGCAGCCGCCCTCACCATAGGTGTAGGGGGCTCTGCCCTACCACTCCCCACAGATCCTCCGCCAAGCCTCCAGGGCCCCAGTGCCTCCAGCCCTGCTCCTGCCAGCCCACAGGACACCATCTCACCAGGCCCAGCTCCAGGGACAGACTGCCTGGTCCATCTGTAGTAGCACCATGCCCAGCCTTCCCGCCAGACCCCAGCAAGGCAGAAACGCCTGCCGCCACTGCCGCGATGGAAATAGCAGGATAGATCCTGGTGCTGTAGAGGGCAAGGGGAAGGAGAGAGCCCAGGGAAGGGCACGGCTGGGTGCCAGTGCGGCTCCCCCCAACCCAGAAAGGTGCTCCCAGAAAACTCCTGCAAGCCCTGACCTTGAGTGCCACGAATAAACAAGCAAATAAACAGGCTCAGGTCAGTGGAGCAGAGCAAACACTAAAACCCTCATCACAGCCGTGCCCAGAGCCTTACTGCAGGCAGCAGGGACTTCTGCAGCAGCTGCCAGAGGCAGCTGTCCCCTCCTGGCTGTCCCCTCCTGGCTGGAGTGTTCAGACCCCACGAGGGGACCTGGTGTGGGGCTGGGGGATCGGAGACACTACAGGTCCCCTCGGACACACTGCTGTATTTCCCTAGCTCCAAACCATCCCTGTGCCCCACAGGGCACCTGCAGGAGAGGGAGCTGCACGGCCCCGCAGGGAGCTCCGGCCAAAGAGCCAGCGGCCAAGTGGCCGCTGCCGGGGCCCGGCAGCCACAGACTGCGGGGCTGCAGCTCCAGACCCTCACCTGCAGATCGTAGGCCCCAGCCTGCCTGCACTGCGCCGGGCTGCAGCACGCCCGGCACGCCTCGGGCTGGATCGAGGGGACCGGCTCGGCTCAGCACAAGGCTCGGTTCGGCATGGCAAGGCTCGGCTCGTCCTGGCACGGCTCAGCTCGGCACCGCCGCGGCCCCGGTCCGAACGGCTCCTGCCGGCCCCGGCGCAGGGCCCGGGCGGCCGCTTCAGCACCGCGGACAGCGGCATCGGCCCCGGGGGACTGAGGATGCGGGAGAGGCGGCGGGAACGGGATGGGGGGCGATACCGGTGATGGGGGTCTGCCGGGGATGGGGGTGTACCGGAGAGGGGGGGCGGCTGCCGGAGATGGGGGGCGGCAGCGGAGGTGAGGGAAGCGGGAGGGAAGGATGGGGGGGCGGCAGCCGGAGATGGGGGGCGGCAGAAGGGAGGGTTGGGGGGGCAGCAACGGGGATGTGGGAGGCGGGAGGAAAGGATGGGGAGGAGGAAGTCAGGGATGGGGGGGTAGCAGTCGAGGGGGGGGATGGTGGGGAGGAGGTAGCTGGGGTGGGGAGGTAAGTGTGGGGACCCCTGCGGGGGCACCGGCGGGCGGGAGCGGGCCGCTGCAGCGGCCGCCGGGGGCTGTCCGGGAGGTGTCAGAGGTCGGTGCCCGCAGCGCAGCTCGCAGCCCCGGCCCGGGAGGAGGCTCCCCGGTGAGCCCCGGGCACGGCTCGGCCCCACCGCAGCCGCTGCTCCAGCCGCGCTGCCGTTCCCCGGGGCTGCCGCAGCGGCGAAAGCGGGGCCGGGGCTGCGCGGAGGCGCCGGGAGCGGGAACAGCTCCGCACCGTCCACCGCAGCCCCGCGGGGCCGCGGACCATGAGCCATCGCCGCGGCCGGTGCTGGTGCCGGTGCTGCCCGCCCCCAGCCTCCGCGGCTCCCGGCTCCGCGCTGCCTCCGCCACCCGCCCTGCAGGGGCGGCCGCCCCGGGCAGCCCCGATGCCGGTGCCTCACCTTGGCTGGCGCCGCCGTCGCCGTCCTCGCAGTCGGCCAGGTTGTTCAGCATGGCGCCGGCTGCCCGCCGCTGCCCGGGAGCTGCGAGCTCCGCTCTCCGCAGCCAGCCGCGTCCCCGCGCCGCCCCCCGCCGCCGCCGGTGGGAGGGGGCTGCAGTGCGGAGGCGCCCGGGCTCACGGCTCAGCCCGGCCGCTCACTTCATCACGTATGCGGGAGGCATTGCCCCCGCCGCCGCGGGGAGGGGAGCAGCGGCGAGCGGGGGAGGGCGCGGAGCGGAGCGGGGCCGCCCCCCGGCTGCACCAGGCGGGGGGTTGGGGGCAGAACTGGGGCAGGGCAGCGCTGCGGGACAGCCCCGCACCCCCAGCCCTCAGCAGCCCCCGGCGCAGGCCCGGGACCGGCACCGGGTCGGGGGGTGCAGCGGGACAGACCCTGCGCATCCCCAGGGACCAGGGAGAGACCCTGCCCGCAGCTCCCGGGTGGGGCAGCGGCGGCGAGGACACGACCGCAGGCAGTAGTGCCCTGGCCGGGGGCCAAGCCCCTGCCTCAGCAGTCTGACCTGCCCGAGGCCCCCAGTATCCAAGGGCAGCCCGGGAGCAGGGGAACACGGACCACCCAGCAGCAGGGCCGAGGCTGCTGACCCTGCTTTGCCAGGCATCCGCACCCTGCAAGCGTTGGAAACGCTACCTGCAGCCGGGAGCTGGCTTAGGCTGACGCCCGGCGTCCCCAGGAGGGAGCTGGGGTCACATAGTGCCCACTAACACCCCTGCACAGCTCTCCCGACCTGCAGAACGGCAGATCCAGGGCTGATCCTGGAGAAAGGCTGTGAAGGGACAGACTGCCCAGGCCCTGCTGAGCCCATCCTCAGCAGAGCCGCGAGTCTTGGGGCCACCTTTGATCTGGGGGCTGCTGGCAGGACCCCGCAGGGCGGCTCACAACCCCCCCCTACTCTCACCCACTAATCCGGGAGGATCCCAGCCCTGGAGCTGGCTGCAGCTCCCAACATCTCCTCAGGCGCGCTGAGATCATGACAGCCTGCTGGCGTTAGTTACTTCTTGACGGCTGTAATTAATTGTTTACTTTCTCCTGGTACGGGGCCAGCTGCTCTGCAGCGCAGAGGCTCCCGGCCTCACCTCCTACCTTGGGGCAGGAGGAATCGGGCACTAACAGAAGCCCCAGCCCTGCCTCGGCTGCTGCAGCCAGGATCCCCAGACCCAGCATCCCCTGGGAGCAGGAGCCACACCAGCACAACTCCAACTCCACGGCAAGGGCCATGGGATGGCCACAAGCAGGGTGGACAGCTTGGGGGCTACTCCTGCCCTCACCCGGCCCCCAGACTCCCTCCCAGCCCAGGACTCTGCATGCTGTGGTGCTGACCCTGCCCAGCCACAGCAGCAGCATCCCTTTGCCCCCTTGTCCCTCAGCCTTGAGCAGGAGATTTCACCAGAGCAAGGGGCTGCCTCTTCTCAAGTAATAGGACTGACCCCCACATTCTGCCTCAGCAGGCAGGGCTGCAGGCAGGGCTGCAGGCAGAGCCACTTGGCATGGTGTTTCCTGGGGGTCTGCAGAGTCCATGCACACGTGGAGGGCAGGGGGCTGGGGGCTGCACAGGGGCCACGGTGAGTGCTGAGCACCAAGAGGGTGGTTTTGCGCAAGAGGCTGCAGTGCGTGGGTTCGGCACAAGAGGGATTTTCCTGCTAAAACAGATGGGGGGCAGGGAGCACGTGAAAGACCACTAATCCCCTAATCCCTGGATTATGGCTCCATTTCAGGGGCTGGGATTTGCCAGCAGCATGGGGGGCTACGTTATCAATTGCATTTATTTATCTCATGTGCAGGGTCCCATAGACACAGTGAGGCACATGGAACATGTCCCCAGGACAGAGCCAGACCGAGAGGGCTCAACCCTCCCAGCACAAAACTGACCTGACCCTGGCCCATGAGCATGATATCCTGGGCTGGAGTATATGGCCCCAGTGCTCCAGGAATGGAGAGGCTGGACATGGCCTGTGCAGCATCCATGGCCCTTGTGCTGCCTGCAGCGCCAGTGCCAGACCCCTTTCCTGGCACTCCGCAGCTCCCAGGCTGAGGAAAAAGGGGTCTAGCAGTGGGGCTGCAGCAGTGCAGGGGCAGAGGAGCTGGGGATGAAGGGAGGCAGCTGGCTTTCCCTGGGCATGGGGGGGGAATCAGCTGCAAGTGGCCCCCACACCCGGGTGCAGGCTGGATTCTGGCATGGGGCCAGGCACAGCATCAGTGCCCCACTTAACTGCAAGAGGATGCCCAGGAATGACGAGGGAGAGCTGCACAGCTCCTCTGCCAGGCCAAGGGGTTGGCACAGCAGAGCTGGACCAATTCCCTGTGATGCCTCTGCACCCCCCTGGGATGGAGACTGCTGAGCTATGCAAGACCCCAAAAGCCTGAGCTGGTTTGGGGCATGGAGCATCCCTGCAAACTGTGCAACTGCAGACACCGCAGAGCCACCTGAGCACGTCCCAGACCCCCCTGCATCCCCTGTGGCAAACAGAGCCTGGGTGGGGGATCCATCCCCACAGCCCTGCCCCTGCAGCCGGCACACAGCCCTTGCTCATCCTGATGCCAGCAGCAGTTGAACCTCTCAGGAGCGTGACACACACCAGTGGCGCTGGGAAACCTCCTAAGGGCACGGAGCGGGCAGCCTGGCAGCAGCATGATGGGGAGGTCAGGGCCACCGCGCTGCAGAGATGCCCATGCTGCACTCCTGTAGCAATCCCCGGGCACCGTCACAGCCTGCCTGACCCTCACCCTGTCTGGACGGCAGTTCCAGCACCAGGGGCCCAAGGGCAGAAGGCCAGAAGAGACCCCCAAGAGGACAGGGGGCAGTGGGGCTATCCCAGGAGATTTGCATCATGGTGTGTCCCGCGCCGATGTCCTGACACCCCATGACACCATGGGCTGCCTGTTCTGCAGCACCTCAGAATGATGGAGGGATCTTGCTCATCCCCATGCAGACAGGTCAGGGCCCTGCGGCCAGCAACAGGGCAATAACAGAGCCTGAAGGTGACAGAGCCACGGGGGGCCAGGAGCCGGTGAAGCTGCCCAAGGCCAAGAGCAGAAGGGTGGTTGTGGGGCGGGGCAGGGCAGGAGGCCGCGAGGTTCTGCATCACGAGAGCCCTGCACCACGCACAGCTGGCACGGGCCAGATGCGCTGCCAGCAGCAGGGCAGAGGCAGTGGGAGCCCAGCACGGGGATCAGCCTTGGGAGCGATCAGCCACCGGCCCCCGCTGCCATTCAGAGCCGCCGAGGAGCTCCTGAGCAGCCCCGCGCCAGTGGCTGCAGCTGAGCGAGGGTGAGGAGCGGCTGTTACCAAGGGTCTGGCACCGGAGCGCAGCTGACCGAGGCACTGGGCTGTCCTGTGTCCCACACACCCCCCGGCCCGGGCCCCCCAGCCTGTGCAACCACCCCCGGCCCTGGCACCCCACCAGAGCACCCCGCAGCAGGTTCAGTGGCACGGAGAGGCCTTGGGCACGTGCTGCACGTGGCAGTTGGGGCTTGGGCTGCCCCAGGGACCCAGGGAGCAGAGCAGTGTGGTGGGCAGGGGGGGCTAGATCCCCCACCCCCACAGCCCCGCAGAGCCTGCCCCACACACACCCCCCAGCCCTCCCGGGGTAGCGGCCCCCCTGCACTAGGGGTCCCCAGTGGCCCCCTCCCGCTTGGGGCTACCCCCAGCTCCGCTGCCCCACACAGCTGACAGCCCCACGGCGGGTCCGGGAGAGCGGCTGGACCCCCCCAGCACCAGGAACCGCTGGCAGGGATGACACCGGGCCCGGTTTCCATGGGAACCAGAGAGGCTCCTTAACCGGTTGGTTGCCATGGCGACTGCCGCCGAACGGGGCTGCCTCGGGACACGGCGGAGGGGGCTCCTCTCCGGGGATGTTCCGGTGCTCCCCCCCGAGCCAGGGCGGCCGCATCGGGGCCAGAGCCCGGGGCTGGGGCGGGGGCCGGGGGGACCCCTGCGGGGCGGGGCCAAGGGCGGGGCGGGGCGGGAGGGGCGTGGCCAGAGGGCGGGGCACACCCGCGCCAGAGGCTGCCCTGTCCCGTCCCGGCAGCGCCCCCTGGCGGCACCGAGATCGCGCGCACCCCGTCCCGCCCGCCCGCAGCGCCCCCCCGGCACCGGGCGGCAGCTCCGGGCCCGCACCGCGCTGAGCCCCCCCCAGCGCTGCCCCCGGGCAGAGCGCGGCACCAGCCCGCGGCCGGAGCTCCCACCCCGGTACCGAGCCCCGCGGCCGGCTGCAGCCCCCACCCCGGCCTCTACCAGCCCAGCGTGACCTGGGGCAGGACAGGAGTGCCGCTTGCGAGCACCCGCCTGCGGCCCGGCCCAGCCCCATCGCCCCCAGGCCGCCCTGCAGGTACAGCCCCACGGCACTCACTCAACCGTCCCCCCGAGGCTGCACCCACAGCAACACGGGGCATGAATGGGGCAGCCTCAGGGCTCCCCCGCCTGCTGCCCGACCCCCGGCACACGCTCCCCACCACACTGTGGCTGAGCCGCGGTGCAGGGTCAGTCCAGGCAGCGGCCGTAAGGGCTGGGCCGCCACCGTCCTCTGCGAGGGCACAAGGTCAAAGCTCAGCCAGAGGGACACCATCCCTGCCACAGCCCCTACGGTATAGCCCCCCCAGCACCCCCAGCCAGCCTCGCTCTGCACACGGCCCCGCACGAGCACATCAGCCACCCAGCTGCTGACTGCTCCGGGAGGGCCATGGGCTCCAGCTGTGGTTCCAGCTGTGGCTCCAGCTCAGAAGGGGCTGCTCTGCCCCAGTGCAGCCCATGGGCCAGGCCCAGCTGCGCCAGGATGCCATGGGGTGACACGCAGCCCTGGCACCACACACGGGGGCACAGCCCAGCCTGGACTCTGCGGCCCCATCCAGCTGCTCGCTGCCTCCCACCCGCGCCCTTCGCCAAGGGTGCAAGGTCACAGCTCCGAGCAGCGCAGTGCTGCCGTCGGCTGGGTGTCTGGGATCGATACGGCTCCGGTAACAGCACAGCCCTTCCACCACATCCCCTGGGCACTGCAGGGCGACGGCCTGCCAACCCCCATGCCCACCGCAGCCCCATGGGTCACTGCCACCACCACCACCTTTCCCACACTCTCACACCAACCCAGCTACAGCCCACCCTCCTTGACAAGAAGGGGCACGCAGCCTCGCACCTCGCAGCCATGTCCCTGCGAGCCAGCTGTGATCCCACTGTCGGTCCTGCCTCACTCCAACAGACCCCCGGCATAGTGACAGCC